GCTCTGATTCAGAGTGGGAGAAGACTATACTATGGAATGAATCCCAGGAGAAAAGTATTTTGGGGGGCCATTCTGGAGGCTAGCTGTGACATTTATATTCTCTTTTACTCCAGGGGAATTAGCACCATTAGGAGGCCTTAACAATTGCAGACATTGAGATGCATGCTGGCTAGAGAACTCCAAAAAAGAAGGAGGAAATAAACCAAAGGAAATAATTCTACAGCCTCATATCTTTCCTCTTCTCTCCTTGCATTCTTAGTTTAAGTCAGACTGAATTTCTTATGACTCTTCAGAACCCACCTGGTTCTTCTTTCTCATTTTTAAGGCCTGTGCGCCTATGGTTTTTTGTTTGAAATCTCCTCCTCTCCACTTCACTTAGCTACCTTCCTCTCATAATTCAGGTCTTAGCTTAAACACCACTTTCTCTGGGAAACTTTCCCTGATTCCCTTAGGCTATCACTGCTGTGTGTATTTTTGTCCCCTGTCAAGGATCTTATCCAACGTTTGGAAATCCAGGCATCCGTGAGAGAACAAGCTGATGAAAAGGGATGAAGCGAGGCTTCTGGTCAAGATGACAATGTGGGCAGACATGGCTTGCCTCTTCGCACAACCACATCAAAATTACAACTAAAATATAGAAAAACTATCACTTAGGAATGTCAGAAATCAAGTTGAATAGAAATCTGACAACTATGAAATCAAGTTGAACGGAAGTCTGACAACCACAGAGTTGAAGAAACCATGTCAATCCAGACTGGTAGGAGGGGCACAGATGCGGAATGGGCTGGCCCCATACCCACGTGGATAAAAAAAAATTGGGGATGGATATTTCAGGAGCAAGGAGTCCCAGACCCACAGCAGGTCCCCCAGCCCAGGATTTCAGTGCCAGGAAGATAGGTTCCCACAACATCAGGCTGCAAAAACCGGTGGGGATTGAGTCAGTGGAGGAGGCTGCTGGAGCCTTAAACAGTTCCTTTTAGGGAACCCTCACATGGACTCACCTACTCAGACTCCCTTTGAGCTCCCTTTGAGCTCCAGGGTGGCAGCTTGAAGATCACCAATGGTATACAGGGAGAAACTGAAGTGTCTGGCATTGGGGCAAGCAGATGCCATGGTCCCTTTGCTGAGCCCTCCCCTAACAGAGCCAGTAGGCAATGCCATATCGGAAACTCCATCAACTTGGCTAACACAGTGTGACCTGTCTTGAAGATCTCCAGAAGCTCTGTCCCACCCAACTCCTGGGCCCACCCAAGCTACTTTTCCATAAGAATGGCTAGTCTTGGCTCCTAAATCCTATCAAACAAGCAAGAGCTGGTTTCAGTGAGCCTTAGTGGCAGCCAGACTAGAGTCACAGCTTGGCTTCACCTGGGAATCTCCAAGCTCAGCACAAGTAGCAGCCACCTCAGATTGCCTTACAACTCAGGAAGGGTGTCCTGAGTGAAACACAGGTGGGGGTTGACTTTGGCCTGCACCACCTGGGGAAACCCCAGGGCCAATGCACTCATGGACAGCTACGGACCATGTCGGAGTACTACCACCTTTGCCTCTGCATAGCTGATGTGCCGCAGAGGGCAGAGGTTGGAGGTCAGTGGTCCTAGCCAGTCATTGCAGCTGACTGGCCTGGGTAAATCTATCCCATTAATCTGCCAACAGCAACCAAAGCTCAATTATAAGAGGAGGGTGTACTCAGCCTACACAGAGGGTGCACCTCAAATACTCAGCTTGGTTGATAGGGGAGGCTATGCCACTGAACTCTATAGGACACCAACTACATTAGGCCACCACTACCAAGACACGGAGTCTTGGTAGTGGTACCTAATACATACAAACAAACACAGAAAGGCTGCCAAAACGAGGAGACAAAGAAGCATGGCCCGAATGAAAGAACAGATCAAAACTCCAGAAAAAGAGCTAAACGAAATGGAGATAAGCAATCTATCAGATGCAGAGTTCAAAACACTGTTTTAAAGGATGCTCAAAGAACTTAGTGAGGACCTCAGGAGCATAAAAAAGACTCAGCCAGAAATGAAAGATACACTAATTGAAATAAAGAGTAATTTACAGATAAAGAACAATTTACAGGTAAACAACACTAGTGGATGAAACCAAGTGGATGAAATCAATGATTTGGAACATAAAGTACGAGAAAACAACCACGTAGAACAACAAGGAGAAAAAATAATCCAAAAAAATGAGGATAGTATAAACAGCCTCTGGGACAAGCTTAAGAGGTCCAATATTTGCTGCAGAGGGGGACCAGAAGAAGAAGAGAAAGAGCAAGAAATTGGAAATCTATCTGAAAAAAATGGTGAAAGAAAACTTCCCTAATTTCGTGAGCAAGTTCAGGAAGCACAGAGAGTCCCAATTATGATGGGTGCAAAGAGACCCACTCCAAGGCATCATTATTAAAAGGCCAGAGATTAAAGATAAAGAGGGACTGGGACTGTCAAAAGCAAGAGAAAAGAAGTTAGTTACCAGAAAGTTGTCAGTTGGGAGGGGGGAAAGAGAGGGGAGAATGGGTGAAGCGTGAGGGGATTAAGAATTACAAATAGGTAGTTACTGAACAGCTATGGAGTTGTAAAGTACAGTGTAGGATATGGAGTAGCCACAGAGCTTATATGCATGACCAAGGGACATGAACAATGGTGGGAGGATTGCCTGAGCGAGTAGGGGGTACGTGGTGGAGGGGGGCAAAGGGGAAAAAATCAGGACAATTGTAATGGCATAATCAATAAAATATAATTTTAAAAAAGAAAGAAAGCAAGGTGGAGGAAATTAGCTAGGCATTCTCTAGTAGAAGTTCCGAAATTAATTTTTATGATAATGAGATTATCTTTATTCATGCTATACAATACAGAAGCCACTGGCCACATGTGACTATTGGAAACTTGAACTGTGGCTAGCATGAAGAACTGAAAAATTCAGGAACTGAATTTTAAATTTTATTAATTCAAATTTAAATACACACACATGACTAGTTGCAACTGTATTGTTCCGCACATCTTTTATAGGAAGAAACCTGGCTAAGTAGAGGACAGGGTAGTGGAGTGGAGGCCAAGCTTTCCTATGGGGAGAGGACACCCCTGCAGATCTGAAGGGACCATGATAAACTAAATCTAGTGCATGGTGTTTGCTAAGTACTATTACACCCCCATGCAAGGCTATTTGTAATTGAACTGGATCCTCTGAACAATAAAAGGGTCTAAAGGCACAAGGACTGGTTGTCTGAAGGCAATATTGGAGAAGATTTTTTTTGGCAGGGGAAGAGGGGGCGAGGGAAGCTTTTGCCACATTTGCCTCCTAGGGTCAGGGTCAGAAACACTCTTTTAACAGGGTCAACAGTTGTAATGGTTTTCTCCAAATCTTCACCCTTTTAGACGAGTCAAGAAATAGCTTTCTTCCCTTCTTCCCTGCCTTCTCTCCGTTCCTTCTTTTCATGGCTTTGTGTTAGGCTTTGAGAAGTGTTGACTCTGTGAGAAGTGTTGACCGGGAGAAAGAAGACACCTACCAAGAAGAGCTCCTGTGGCAAACTGGGCTCAAATTTAAAAGCGGATCCTAGCAACTGTTTCTGAACAGGTATGTCTCACACAAACAGGGAAAAAACATGTACTGAACTGCCTGCCTCCTTCACTGAACTGCCAGCTTGCAGGCTGAACCAACCTTTGTAAAAGAGTTACTGAAATTGCATTTCAATGAACAAGACTGAGATTATTCTTGTCCAAATGGAGCTGTGCAGCTATAGCCCCATTAGCATCTTTGCCTGACACACTGCAGAGCAGCTCCATTCTGACCAATCAGGACAGTGCTTTTTGGACCAATAAAACTGTGAGGATTTGGAGTCCTCATTTGCATGATGATGAACCAGGGGCTGCTTTCTGTATAAATTAGTTCCCCTCCGACTTTGGGAGTCATTCCCTTTCCACCCAAGAGTGAAGACTGTGTTTCCCTCTGGACCAGAGCTGATTAGAGCAGTCTAGACGGACAGGTGCCTTGTAGCCCTCTGTAACACAGCTGAGCTGATTCCACCAAATAAAGTTTCTGTCTTTACTGCACTCCAAATTGGGGATCCCTATGGGCATTGAGTTGGCACCAATGACCATTGGTTGACAGGAAAAAAGGGAATAATTTTCAGTATCTTTTCTTTGAAAAGTTCCCAGACAAGAGTAGGTGGTAAAAATGTCTCCATGCTGGCTGGGAGCCAAATGTCCTGGGTTCTGGTGTTTTGCCACCTGAGTTAGCTACACCTCAGCTATGGCCTTTGTAAGATGTCAGGTCTGGAGAGGACATTTGAGGTTCCTGCGCTAACTTCCTGGTCTGGTAGGTAATGTAATCAAAATCACAATGATGAAAATAACAGCTAGTTAACTTAGAGCTTACAAGTTCTAGGCACTGAGCTAAGTGCTTCATACTCGTCACTTAAACCTTTTGGCTGTTTTACACATCTTCATTTTCAGGTGAGGAAATAGCGCTTTTTGCTTCCTTGTTTTTAGTTGAATTGGGCTTTGATTCCAGCTGGTTCGAACCCGTAAGCTTTAACTTTGCCATATATATTGCTTCCCTTCAGGGTGGGTCGGTAGCACACGTTAGCTTCAGCCAGGGAGATTTTTGTTACGATTATTAGTAATACTGAGTGTATTTTTACTGCATACTCTGACCCTATGTACACGCTCCCGCTTAATTCTCACAGTAGCTGCATAGGGTGGCCGATACTAATGCCCTTATTGTATATGAGGGAAAGAGAGGCTCAGTAAATTAAGGTCACACTGGTAGCAAAAGGCCGGGACTAAACACCAAGTGGTCTGCCTCCAAACCCCTGCCCTGACCATTCCGCTTTCAGAATTCTCAAGCACACGTAAGCCACCAGCTGTCGACCACTGACAACACTGACTCCCGAACCGCCCCAGGAGCGCGCCTCAGCACGCAGGCGCTTTCCGGCTCCGGGTCAGAGCGCTAGGCGGGCGCTAGGACAGCGGCGGGGAGCGTGCGCGCGGTGACGTGCCAGGCGCCATGTTGGAGGGCTGGTGGTAGCGGCTCGGGGAGGTGCTCATTCTCTCGGTCTCGCTCTCTCGCTCGCTTTCCCCGGCTCCCTTCGGTTCCCCCCTCCCCCTGGTCGCTTGTGGGCCGGAGTGTGTGCGAGGGAGGGGGAGGGTGCTAGGGGTGGGGAAAAGCGTTCCGGTGCCCGGAGACCCGCGGAGGGAGGCGGAGGCTGCGAGGGACTCCGGGAAGCCATGGACGTCGAGAGGCTGCAGGAGGCGCTGAAAGGTGGGGGTAGCTGCCCGCTCTCCCTTCCTCCTCACCCTCCGCGGCCCTCTCTCCTCTCCCTTCCGGGCGGGTGGCTCCGAGGGCCGAGACTGGGCGCGGGGGCAGAAGTGCTTCCCCGGCTCCCATCCCCCTCCCGCCTCCCTGGAGGTGGGAGTCTTTTGAGTAGCTACCCCCTCCCGCACTGGGCTTTGTGTCCGCCGCCGCGTCTAGAATGGGGGAGGGGAGCCAGGAAGCTCTCGCCGGGGCCCCATCCCCTGTCACACCTCTTGGGGACTGGCCTTGCGCCAGCAGGCTTCTTCCAGGCCTGCTCGGTTTTCTGTCTGGCCCCTCTGCAAGGTAGACGTTGGGTTACAGGAAAAAGTGAAAGGTTTGGGGAGGGGGAGGGGCGGCAGAACAACTTTAAATTTGTATCTCTGGAATGCTCCTCCAGACCTGGAGTTATCATTCCACCCTAATCCTAAAGTGATCGCTTTCCAAGCGACAGGCTTGAGTAGTTTTCAAACAGAATAGCGTGATTTCAGCCTTTTGAGAATTATGTTTTAACATCCAGAATCATTTGGGGACTGCTACATGAAACGGGTAGTGTTTCTTAAAACGCAGGTTTATGAACTCGACTTAAATAAATCCAGTGGGGCCTCGGACGTTAATTCTAATCTGATTTTCAGATGAAGCTGAGGCTGGTGTTCCCCGGACCACACTTTGAGTAACCTTGAATTGAGGATGGTTTGTGAAGGGAGTGCCCTCTTTAGGAGTATTCGTGTTAACTACTGTGAAGAGAATAACACGTGGAAGTATATAACTTGGAGAGTTGAGTTTGAGAGGCTTAATTTTTTTTTCTTGTTCTTACTGTAAGGGAGAACTGGTAGTAAAATTTGTTTTTAGAGGGCATTGGAAATGGTTGGTGGACTTACGAGAAATTCTGATTAACTTTTGTTTCTTCCCTTATCTAGATTTTGAGAAGAGGGGGAAAAAGGAAGTTTGTCCGGTCCTGGATCAGTTTCTTTGTCACGTAGCCAAGACTGGAGAAACAATGTGAGTCGAAAACATGTATTCGTAGCTATAGATCTATACACCATGCAGAATTGCTTGGGAAAGGGAAAACGTATTTCAGAAGAACTGAATAATCTGTGTAAAGTCTCAGTCATTTAAAGCAGTACATATGAATGGTTCGCAATGAATTTTTAAAAATTTTTGAAACTTTTTTTTTTTTTGGGTACATTTGGAACTTACCAGCCTGAAAGAGCCAGAGAAAGGAAGAACACCTATTCAGTTTATGACCCTTTTTGGGGTGTAACAGGCTTATTTCTAGGATTTCGTGGCTTTCATTCTATTTCAGATTCTTTTGTTGGTAGTAGTTTCTCATAATGGTCCTATATCCAACCTTTGATGTCATATTTATATATGTGGGTGTTTAAGATGTCACTTCTGTATGTTCTCTTAAGAACTCAGGGTGATTATATAACCAATTCCAGATACTACAGTTTTGACAGTCCTGTAAACCTTCTAGGATAGCTAACTTGGTACATCTGCTCAGCATTTTATTAGGCTTGTTTCCAAATGTTTTAAATCTGAAACTTACAGTATGAATTCCATTGCAGTGTTGTGTAAATAATTTGGGTAGCAGACGTTCTTTTCACAATCCGCCAAAGTTAAGTACCTAGAGAGCAGTACAACTTAGGTGACTTTCTTGTAGTCTTGTAAGAAGTGGAATTTTTCTGGGCTCCCCTACTTCTTCCTTGTTTTAAAATTTCTTTCTGAGGTCTACTGTGAGAATGTAAAGTTGAACAAGTGATACATACTTTCTTTGATTTTATTCAAAAATAAAATGCTCGTTTCTCACAAGATATGCTTGTGGTTGTAGTGTAGCCTTAACTAGCCTAATTTTAGAAAGAAAAAAAAACCCCTCTTTGCTTTAGTGGTCATGTTGATAAGTTGAACCTCCTTAGTGCTTTATTAAAATTACCAGTCAACTTAAGACTGTGACTGTGATGTGTTGCTCAATTTTATGTTTATTTATTTAAAAAATGGAACCATTTTGGGGGGGAAATAATTATAGTCTCTTAGAGCATTTGATTTTTAAAAATTGATTCAAAGTATCTAACTGGTGTTCATACAGGTTAGCTTAAAAATGATTACATGCCAACTTTCAAAAATAATCTAAATCATAATTGCTTAGATTGCCACTATTTCTTTCAAATTGCTGGTTGATCCAATTTATCCCTTTCTACAATAACAGGAGGAAAAGCATTTTACTTGCAGAGTCAACACAAGATTATATCAAAGTATTTGGAGATACGTATATTAAAAACCTCCTCCATTTATTCCTCTTGTCAGGTCTGTACAAACTGCCTTCACTTTTTAATAAAATACATTGGCTGTAAATGTATAGTGGACAGTTTCTAAAAGAAAGCTTTTCAGTATCCTGACTGGATCAGCCAGTGGCTAGGGAAATTTAACCTGATGTTTCTGGACAATTATTTTGTCCTTCCAGAGGTCTTTAAGAGTCTCTGCCACTCCATTAGGTGTTTGTACGTTTACTGAGAGCATTTTGTATTAAAATGATCGGTGGTGGTAGGTTGTCTTTTGAGTGTGGAAAATATGTTAAAGTAGTTTATCATTCAAGCACCTGATGTTTATGCATTTAGCTTTTGTTACTGGGTTTTTTTTTTGTTGTTTTTTAATCAACATGGGCATGCCTTAACTTTGATACTGAAATTTGCAGTTTCTGGCTAAACTGAGCTTTGTGTAACTTTTAAGGTTATAATAAGAGAGTGAAAAATCTAAAGAACAGCAAGTCAGATCCCTGATGTTTGAGGATGGATGAGTTGCTTAAGATAAGAATTCCATGGTTGTGTTTTTATTTTCATCAGTAGGGTGAATCATTAACAGCAGAAATATTAGAAACTTTATGGATGAAAATCAGTGACAGCTAGGCTATTTATTCATTAAAAAAATTGATTTGACCTTTTTGTTTTTAGCTTTAGAGAGAGTTTATAATTATAAGAATGGGTTCTCACTGAGGAGGAAGTTGGTAGAAAATTAAAGAGCTTTGGAACAATTTTCCTTCCTAGTCTGTTAAAAAACTACCTGTAAACATCTAATGTCCGAAGTTGGGGAAGATGCCAAAACATGGGGCACCAAAATGAAGAGGGAGATTTTTTTTTTTTTAAACTACTTGTAACAACACCCAAATTGTTTTGGACCACTTCAGAAAAATTATTTTCATGTTGAAAAGGTTACTTGCCCTGAATATGGGACACCTTGAGCAACACTTTTCGGAACGTTGTGGTCTCTAACTTTTTAACATTATGTGCTGAATATAAACCGAATAATATAAACCGAAACATGAGGTGGGTTTTTAATCATAGATTTAAATAATTTGGTGGGTTTTAGTTACAATTTTTCTTTTTGATCGTCAGATTATCTCATCTTTGGCCAGTGAGAGCCTCTTCCAATTGATTCTAGAGACTTTTAACTTAGATCTAGCAGTCTTTGATAGCATCCTTATCTCTGGCATGAGAATATGTTCTAAGTTCATTTCCTCCCTCAAACCTGAAATCAGCCATTTCTGAAGAAGCCCTGTCTTCTCTTAGTGGGAAATGTAATTTAAAGTCTGTAATCTGGGTGCTAGAGATGCTTATTATTATTGAGTTGGTCATTGTTTCTAGCCTCTTTAGTGGACAAAACTGGATAAAATACTTCCTCATCCATACTGATAGTTCCAATTCAGAATCACAACTGTAGGTTTGTTTTTTTCTAACTTTCCACTTCAAAAATCCTAATTCTCAGGGACACAGTAGTGTTAGGATATCCCATAAATACTGACTATATCTAACACTACACACCACTGATATAACTACTAAGATTGTTAAAATTTTTTTTTTACATGTATTCTACCAATTTCTAGCCACCATTATTTAAAAAATAAGTTGTATCTACATATTTGAGCATGTAGCTCTCTTAATCATCATTTACTCTTGGTTGTATGGCGCTCATGTGACACCACTAGTCCTTAGGTCTCTGTCTCTAGTCAGTTTGGTGGTCTGAAGATCATTCTTTAGGAGATTCATTAGGCAGGGCTCTTGGGAACAATATTTATGGAGTTCTTTTGTTAACATTTTGTGCCCTTTGCCCTTGAAGGTCAATTTGAAAATAAAGTCATTGTTTCACATTTTTTGCCATTGAGTAGCTTAAGTAAGTTCCATTGTTTTCCCCAACTTAAAAAGTTACTGTCAAAATTTGATGATAACCTGTTTTTCCTTACTTTATAAACTACCCACTCTTTGCCTATATTCCCAAAGGATTTTTTCTTTTTCTTTAAAGTGTAGTAACTTTTCTAAACTGTATCTTAGCATTTGGGATTTTGAGTCAGTGTATTTAGGATGCGGCATGCTTTTTCAGTATGTATTTTCAAGTTTTTCAGGTTTTTTTTTTTTAAATTTCAGGGAAATGATTTTTTTACTCAACATAATTATCTTGAGATTGATCCAGTGTTGTTTCAGGTATCAACAGTTCCCTCCTTTTTTATTTCTGAGTATTGGTTTTATGAAAATACTACATTTTTTAAAATATATTTGCCTGTTGATGGATATTTGGGTTGTTACAGTTTTTTATTTATTAAAAAAGCTGCTGTGAACAATTGTGTACAAATCTTTGTATGGACACATGCATTCTTCACTTTTAGATAAAAACCCAGAAGTGGAATCATTGAATTATATGGTAGATGTATGTTTATTTCCTAAAAAACTGCCAGACTTTCCCAGAATGATTGTACCAGTTTGCATTTCCATTGGCATTATGGGAGTTGAGTTCAGTTTTGCCACATCCTTTCCAGCACTTAGTATGGTGAGTCTTTTTCACCTTAGCCATCCTAGCAAGGACTTACTGCATAGTGGTTTTATTTTATAGTCCCCTAATGACTAATGATGTTGAACTTTTATTAGCTATTTGTATGTCTTTGTTGGTAAATCTTTGCCCATTTTAAAACAAGGTTATTCTCTGATTAGGTTTTAGAGTTCTTTATATATTAAGTCTTATCTTACATATGATTTGGTACCACTGTGTGGCTTGTCGTTTCATTCTCAACAGTGTCTTTCAAAATGAAAATTTTAATTCCATTTTAATTTTTAAAAATTTTCTCCTTTGAAAGACTCTTATGGTATTATCTGCTGTGTGTATTTGCTCGTGTGTACTTTCTAGTTTAGTCTTATTTCTTGATGTAATTTTTTCCTTTAAAAATTTTTTTATTGATTTGAGGGGGGGGAGAGAGGGGGAGGGAGGTGGGGGAGGGGCAAGGAGAGAAACGTGGATTTGTTGTTGCAACCATTGGTTGCTTCTTGTATGTGCCCTAACTGGAGATTGAACTTGCAACGTTTGTATTTTGGGATGATGCTCTTAAATCAACTGATCTAGACAGGGCCAGTAATTTTTTTCTTTTATTTCAAATTCTTTACTGAATTTTATTGCTTCATTTTCAGAGTTATTCTAATTCTGACTTGTATCATTTCCTCTCAATGTCTTTAACTCATTTTTGAGATAGTGTCACACAGTTGTGATCTGATTTTGGACAAGTTGAAATTCTAGCTTCCTTTTGTTTGTCTGTAAGGCTGTTATTCTGCTCCTTATTCTCCTTTTTTCTTATAACTTCATATTGGAATTGACCTTGATAGGTTATTGTTGTGTTTTTATGTGAAATTAGTTTTCCTGAACTTTGAGGAGGAGGCATGTTTCCAAGTACCTTTTCAAACTTAATTAACAGAGCTCTTTCATTGTTTTTGTAAAGTGTTTTAAGAACATGGCAGTTTGCTTACTGAAATTTCCAGGCTTTCTTCTCTACTTTTACTTTCATTTGCACCTTGTCTTTCCTTTATCTTTATTTTTCCCTTTCTCACTGTGGGGTCATCTCTGGATGGGGAGTCTGGTGGGTCACTTTCAAGCTTATGGGAGCGAAATGACTTCTCCCTGTCAGCTCTCCCTGCAGGTCCCTTGTATTTATTCGCTGCTGGAGTAGGCAGAGCCCATCTTGCTTTCCG